GAAAACTAGGGTACAAGTGCCTGTCCAGTTGGTAGGAAGGCAGATGTAAGAAGAATCACAGAGGGAAGAAAAAAGTCCTTGGCTTAGACAGAACTGGAATTGTAAACTGAAAAGGTGAGAAACTGCTGAGGGGGCTGGGGCTTTAGACCCAAATCCCAAGGGAACCAGCGAAGGCTGTAGTTGTTAAAAGCTGTAGTGGGGTTTGGTAGGGTAAATGTGTGGAGGGAGAACTCTTGTTTTAATGGTGTGTGAGAAAGTGTTTTATATCTATAAGTAAACACTTAACAAGGTTTAGTATGAACAGATAACAGGAGTAAGAGTGAATATAAAAGAAAAGGACTTTATTGAGGTGGAAGAATTAGAGTTTCCTGCCACTGAAGATTATCTATCAACTCTAAGAGAGACGGCATCTAAGAGATGGCAGCCTGGGGGTAAAACCATGAAATATCAGCTGTAATTTTCTGTAGGAAAAGTATAAACCGGAAACTTAAACAAATGCAGGGCATGTAAAAGTAAATGAGTACAGTGAAGTTGAGCACAGTGGGACAGAAAATACTACTTTCTGAGGTGTGGTTTAAGTAGTAGGGGCAACAGTGTCAAATAATGGTGTTAGGAAAAAGTTGTCTAATGAAACTAAAAGGTATGTTAGGCTTATATAGAGTTACTCTTCCAGTTTGGGGTGAATTTAAGAGAAGTGGAGGAGAGTACTTGTGTCTTCCAGGAGGAGGAAGAGTAGTTGGGCTGATTGTCTGTGGACACAGCTATATTCTGGAATGATGGACTCACTAGGGAGGGTCTTGTAGACAGACATCTTATAGACGGGGTGCTATAGATGACCTGGAAGGGTCCTTGCCCCATGGTTGAAGAGACTGAGGGGTTAGGCTTTTAACTAGGACTTACCTTCTGGCTAGGTGTCATCATATGGCCTGGTATCTGAAGTGCCTAAGGGAAAATTAGCAGCCTGGTAGATTTCATGCGTGGCCTGTTGGAGGACTGAAAGATAGATACCAAGAAGACTGCTGTCTGGAATAAGATTAGGCCCAAACGGAAAGGTGCAGCCATATAAGAATTCAAAGGGGCTATACCCTGTGAGTTTAATATGAGTGGCTTGAACCCCAACTCCTCTGCAATGGATAACTCCGGGCTTGGCAGAGGAGAGTGGCTAAGGAGGGTCTTTACTAAGAGGGCAATAATAGAGGACCTCTATGTGGTGAGAAAACCTCTTTCTGCCATATATGGTGTAGGATGTGGAAGGTGTATTTAGAGTTAGTAAAAATATTAACACCTAGTCCTTTGGAAAGAGTAAGAGCATGGGTTAGGGCAATTAGTTTAGCTTGCTGACAAGTGGTGGAGGGGTAGTGTGGCACCCTCCAAAATACATGACTGGGATACAACAGCGTAGTCAGCTTTGACCACTGCCAACTTACTGGGCTTGGAGGAACTGCCATCAATAAACGATGCATGGTCTGGGTCCAGAATAGGAAACAAGCATAGGGATATGGGTGATGTTACATGGAGTCATAGAGTTCAGGGTTTGTATTGGATATTAAATGACAGGCTGGATCAAGAGCAATGTTTACTGTGGGGGTTTCAATAAAGAAGGAATAAAGCTGGAGATGGTAAAGGGCTAAAAGTAAGTCTGTGAGGTGTGAAGAGGAAACTAAACTTTGGAAGTTGTAAGTGGGCCATAGCCTGTGACTTTTTTTTTTTTTGAGACGGAGTTTCGCTTGTTACCTAGGCTGGAGTGCAATGGCGCGATCTCGGCTCACTGCAACCTCCGCCTCATTCTCCTGAGTAGCTGGGATTACAGGCACACGCCACCATGCCCAGCTAATTTTTGTATTTTTAGTAGAGACAGGGTTTCAACATGTTGACCGGGATGGTCTCGATCTCTTGACCTCGTGATCCACCCGCCTCGGCCTCCCAAAGTGCTGGGATTACAGGCGTGAGCCAACGCGCCTGGCCTAGCCTGTGATTTTGATCAGGGAGACAGCTGCTGCTATGAGTAGACATTAGGGTCAGCCCAGGACGAGGTTAAATTGTTTGGATAAAAAGCCTAGAGGCCATGGAATTCTGATGGCACAGCCATTTATTTCTGCCTTGTAGAAAGAAGAGTTGAGGAGTTCCGGAGTGCTAAAGCACGAGCAGTCTCCAAGGCCATTTTTAGAGAACAGAAGGAAGGATAATGGAAAGATTTTTGTTCTATGGGGTCAGTTAAGTTTCTTTTTGTAAGTTCATAAAGTGGTTTGGTTAGGGGGGCAAAACCTGGTATCCAGATGTAAAGTATCCTATAATGCCTAGGAAGAAGAGAAGCTGTTGTTTAGTGGATGGGGTTTGGGTTTGGGAAATTAACTGGATAGCCTTCAATATCCCCTTAAAACCTAAGGTTTTTAGAACCAGTGGAGAAAGTTGTTTATTAAATTACAAAGAAGTTACATTTTAAAATGGAGAATTAGAGAATAAAAGAGCTGAACATCCTAACATGCTCATTCTTTGAAGAGAAACTTGGGGTTCACTATAACACAATGAAGCAGCAGTATTTTTTGAGGGCAAGCCCCAGAATAAACCTGAAAAAGACTCAGAAACAGGTCTTGGGTTGATAGCGTGGCTCTTTGGGCTCACAAGCTAGTGAAGTACAGGAAAACCAAACTCAAAAGATTTAAAGTACACCCACTTACAGAAAGGTTTCAAGGGACATGTGAGGGATAAGGTAACAATAAACTTAGATTCTTAAGTGCGATGAGCAAAGGGATGTCCTTACCACAGGGAGGAAGGACTGGGAAGAGAGAACACTTCTGATCAACATGTTCACTTTTGGATTTGTCTGTCATGAGATAATGGTATGTTGAAATAGAAGTGCCTATGAGACTACAATAGAAACAGTACTAAGAGAATTTTTATCCTACTTCTTTCCAGCGTACTATTTTTACTGCACTTGAGTTGAAATTTTGATTATCAGCAGGGCACAATGGCTCCTACCTGTAATCCCAGCACTTTGGGAGGCAGAGGTGGGTGGATCACTTGAGGTCAAGAGTTTGAGACCCGACCAGCCAATTTCTGTGTACTAAAAATACAAAAATAACCTGAGCATGGTAATTTGTGTCTGTAGTCCCAGTTACCTGGGAGGCTGAGAGGCAAAATAATGACTTGAACCCAGGAGGGGGTGGTTGCATGAGCCAAGACTGCACTATTGCATTCCAACCTGGGTGAAAGTGGGACTCATCTCAAAAAATACAAAAAAAAATTATGATTATCACGGATGTACACAGATGTATGCCTGGCTCTGCCAGGGCCTCCTAGGGCTATGTCTCCAGGATCCATGACATGACCATCAAGCAACACTGACCCAACCCTAGAGGCACTCTGTCCCCCCTACATCTTCAATCCCCTCCAGGATTGACAGCCTGCCAGAGGGGAGCACTGGGGCCAGAGAAAAACTTGCTGGACATCACCCCTGCCCCAGACACCAACTCTGCACTCTGCAAACTTGGGTGTCAGGGAAGGAATCATCCTTCCCCCCAGGCTCAGGGGTGTCTGCTTCCACTGACGTCTACTGGCTCCCAAAGCATGCTCCAGTCTTCGCTAAGGAGAGGAGCTACCCCACCTCCTTATCACCTCTCTGCTGTCCCAGTTGTTCTGTTGCTCAATAAAGCTCTTTGTCTTGCTCACCCTCCACCTGTCCACATACCTCATTCTTCCTGGACGCAGGGTAACTCAGGACCCATCAAATGTCAAGGCTGAAAAAGCCATAACACAAAAAGAACTGATACATTTCCCTTGCTCGCCACATTGCAGACAGTAAGGAAGGAAAACCTACAGTATTTTAGGAAGCCAAGACCTCAAAGCTCCCTGAGCTAGGATTGTGAACCCCCATTTGAGGCCTGTAGTTCCTGGCATCTCCAAGCTTCTGGGTGCTACTGTGTTTCCCGGAGAAAACTGCAGAAGCTGCTGCTGTGCAGCTGGAGCTGCCTGCCCTGTGGCAGCAGCCAGTGTGTGTGACTGCACAGTGGTCAAACTGCATGCTTGCTCACATGCCCCTCACTGCTCCATGCCCGATTGGCCCATCACAGGTGTGGAATCCAGGCTGGTAGCATAAGCCAAGCACAGCCTGCCATGCCAAGTGGGCAGAACAAGCCCAGTGGGCCAAGCAAAACTCACCCATAATGGTTTCTGGTAAGAAAAGCACTACCTAAAGATCCTGTAAATAAGACATTAAAGTGACAGTCTGTGAGAAAAAGAGATTATCTCAATGGGCCTTTATGTGGAGAACCATTCTTGACCAGGTCAAAGACAGACCAAAAACTTGGTGTATGCAAAGAACTTGATCTGCCACCTCTGGGTTTAAGTAAGTTAAAGAAATGGGACTTCTAGGCAAAGAATACATACAGCTTCCAGAAGCTGAGAACAGCTCTCAGCTGCCAGTCAGCAAGGAAACAGGCCTCAGTCCTACAGCCACAAGGATCTTAATTTCTGCCAATAATGTGGACAAGCAAAGAAGCTAATACCTTCCCCCAGACAATGTGAACAAGCAAAGAAACTAAGGCCCTCTCCTATAGCTTCCGCACACAAAAAATGCAGTCTGAGAGATAGTCTGGACTTCTGACCTAAAGAACTGTGAGATAAGTTCTATAAGCAAAGGAAGAGGAGAGGAGGGGGAAAAATTAAAAAGAAGCACAATCCTGGTAAAGCAGGAAAACTTAAACCCCAAATTAACAGAAACACTTGTGTCCTCTATGATTTCAACTAATGTCCATTCTCAGAGGCAACCGGAAGTATCACATGCTGTTTGTACTTGATTATGTGATGCTACTCCATCATTGTGCCCACAGAGATGGTGTGCATAACATGTATGAGGGAAGCAAATGTTTATTTACTGGAGGGTCAGAGGAAGTACAGGTTGTATTCCTACAGATCTTAAGATAGTGCCAAAATCATAAGCAAAATCCAAACCCCATTAACCACAAGGGGGAAAACACACATTAGGAAACAATAATTCACTATTTGTGGGGAAAAGAAAAGAGAACTCACTGTTTATTTGTGCCAAAGTCATGAGCAAAATTCAAACCCAACAATTAACTACAACAAGGAAAAAAATACATTAGGAAACAAGAATTTACCGCTTATTTGTGCAAAATAAAATAAAAAAAAAGATATGCTGCTACTGCAATTTAGCCACTGCTCTGTCTGGTAGCCAGTCTCTTGCCTCTCTCTTCAGCAGCAGTAAGTCGGATGCCCCTTCCCCTGGGCAGGGAAATCCAAGGTTTATTGCCCTGCAATTGGAAAGGAGATAAAATAAGTACAGAAAAAAAGGGAGAAGAGAAAAACATCCCACCAAAACACACTTACCTTGTACCTTCCTTTACATCAACAGGCAGCTAATACAAAGAAAACCACCAAATAAAATTTAAAACAAACTAAAATTTTCCTTCTACATGTTTCCTGAGAGGTTATCTGCCTCTCAGTCCTTCCTACTCCCCACTGTTGAGCTGCTAAATACAGATCTTCTGCTTCTATTTTATGTGAGGCAACCAGCCAACAAGTTTTTCATGGCATCTTTAAAGGAAAGGCCACTAATTTCAGGTTCTCCGTTTTGAAGTGTAGAACTGTCAGCTCCCCTTCATTCGCTTTACAGAACCTTAAGCTTAAACATGTATTTACTCACTCCCCTGATGACCTCATTTCAAAGGTATAAATTGAGGTGTTATAATTCAGTACTGAGAAGAGAAATGGACTGATTATACAACTCCATGTTCATTGATGAGGTATACGATGGAGTCTCTGAGGGGTTAGCAGACTCACTTACAAAAGTAAGGGGACACGGCACAACCAGATTGGAGCCAGTGACCTTAATTTAGCCCATATCAGTGGTATAACCCTGCAAAATTTGCAAGGCTGTGTTTAACTTAATTTGTTGCATGACAGTGCTGGCATCGCACATGCAGACTACCTCAAGAGGCAGGCTCAAGGCTCTAGATCTAATCTTGTTTCTGTTTCAGGACTAAAGAGAGAGCTTGCTGCATTCTGTGAATCTTAACACAGGAAGAAGAAAAGAACAACAGACGAACATCAGTAATTGATGCAGGTTTTTACGCTTTCTAGGGTGAGTTTTCTTAAAAAGGAGTAAAGAGAGTTGAAATCTTACACTGCCAATGACAAAAATGTTGGAAATCCTTGTGGCAAAGCTGATACCATGGGCATCCTTCACATGCACCACATCAAAAGAACCAGGATGTCTTTCCTTGCTGGTGATCACACCAATACGACCGAGGTTGGCTCCACCAATCACCATACACATATTGCCTAGAGGAAAAGGAAAATAAACAGGAGCGGAGGCATTTTAAAACAAGAAGGAAGTCTGCTGCCTTTAAAACCAATTAACACAGATGGGCTTACCAGGACAAAGATGAAGTGTCATTCCAAAATTGTACTTTCAAGAACATGTTGCTATGAAAACACTTTTTGTGAATTAGATGAAAGCAGCATTGTAAGGCAAGCCCCTAAGGATTTTTCAAATCATAAGCTTACTGTGCACTGCCTGTCCAACAATAATTTGTCAAAGGTTGAATAAATAATAATTTTGGGGTGGACAAGTATGGCATGGAAGAGCATTGGGTAGGTGGAATAGCCAAGAGGGAGGGAGAAATGGAGAAATTTAGGCTATCAGAGAGACACTAGACAATAACAAAAGGCCTTTAACTAGACAGCTAGCATTGAGGAATCTTCCAATGCTCCAAGGGCTGTCGGGGGCCCCTCAAAGAATACCATTGTTACAGATATCTAGTGTTACTTTTGTGCCACATAACCGTCTCATATAAGCATATTATATAGGGAACAGGCCACCTTGTTAAGAAGTTTTACCTATCACAGAAATAGCATGTTTTAAGAAAAACTTTCCCTCAAATAAAGACTCAGCCACAAGTCCTCTTTTTTATGTGAATACACACCACCAAAGCCAGAGAATAAAGCCCTCTCTTAAAGCCAAAAAAACAAAATACAAACTTGTAACCTAGCCTAAAAGAGTTGAAATTGTCACCTATAAGGCAAGGGCACAAACATATTACACTTATTAATATCTCAAAAACTGATGGGAAAGAGAGGCAACCAACTCAATCTGAGGGTCTTAAAGATTAGGCTCTAGGATTCAAGAAAATTACAATTATTCTTTTTTTATTTTTTTTTGCAACAGAATCTCACTCTGTCACCCAGGATGCAGCACAATCTCTGCTCTCTGCAACCTCCACTTCCTAGGTTCAAGCAATTCTCCTGCCTTAGCCTCCCGAGCAGCTGTAATTAGAGTCATGCACCACCACACTCCACTAATTTTTTGTATTTTTAGTAGAGGTGGGGTTTCACAGTTTCACTACATGGCCAGGCTAGTATCAAACTCCTGACCTTGTGATATGCCTGCCTTATCCTCCCAAAGTGCTGGGATTAAAGGTGTGAGCTTCTGCGCCTGGCCTAATTACAATTATTTTTAAGGTAAAAATTGCTCATTATGACAACAATCAAATAGATTTCTGCAGTTTGACCCTCTCTACCACAAATATATTAGTTGATCCTAAACACAGATTTTTAACAGAAATCCAGGGCCAGCTGGATATATGTGTATTGACATGGTAGGAGGACACAGGAATGAAAAGGCATTAGCAAGCACACTGAAAGTCAACAAAATGATTTGAAAGTAATTTTTTTGTGTAAGTTCTGGTATTACATGTATTGCAGATGGTATGGATGACACTAATGTTCAGGTAAGTAACAAGAAAATACCCATAGCTCCCTATCTGAAAGATAAGAAAAATCACATAAATGGGGCAAGATTCTGTTTCTTGGGTCAGTGTACTTGGCCAATCCCTTAGCTTCCTGGTGGCAACTATCGTGGAAACAGTTAAGTGAGCATCACCCAGCACCCTCAGCTACAAAAAAATTTTGTATACTACACTTCAGTGCAGACTTAAGGAAGATCTGGATAAAAACAAAATAAAGGGCTTGATCTAGCTGGCAAGCAGAAGATGATCCTGAAAAAAGGGTTAAGACAAAATGTCAATGAAAACTTTATGTTTTTTGCTCAAGACAAATACACAGCCTCCTGTAAAAGAAAATCTGTACCTGTGGGGGCAAGAGCACAGCCTCCTGTAAAAGAAAATCTGTACCTGTGGGGGCAAGAGTAGCAGAAATGCCTTGCAAAGCTTATGGCAATTAAAAGATGTATAACGGTTTTTTACTTCATTTTCCACAGTCCTTATGTGGGAACACTATGGACATAGTATGCACAGGGAAAAAACAAAGCTAAGTTATTCATGGTAAAATTCAAATTGTTAGTAACACACTTCCTTCAACTCACTTGTTTGTCACTGCTTCTAAAAGTGCAGAAAGGCTGTAATTTGATGAAAACACTGATTCTTTCAAAGTGTGTTAAGTTCCAATAAAAAGCCCCTGACATTTAGAATGATACCCATACTACTGCACATTAGTAAATGTAGGTTGAAAGCGGAGACCCTTCACAAGAATCACTATTTTATAATTCCTGAATGTGTCAGCTCTATTCTTTTCAGAGACCTCAGGAAAATAGACTGAGTGGAATCTAATGTTGACTTTTGTTGTGAGGCTCTCTTTTTGATGGCCTCTCAGAGATAATGGAATAGAAATTAAAGTCTCGGGTTCAGTCTCTGGGTGAACACTCTAACAGGAGATGCTTCCCACTCTCAGCTGGACCCTTAAGGCAAAAACCTCACAAACACATGAGCCCAAAACAATCATGTGTTCCGAATAACTTAAAACCTGTAATTCACAGTCTGGCTAAATGTACACCTCCTGAGAAGGCCAGGCAGAATCATCTTTACCATATACTGATCTTACTAATAGTACTTTACATGTACTGTCTGGCATGGAAGCAACTCAGACTCCATGATCAGGAAGACCACCTTCAACATAGCATCTAACTGAATGCAATACTACTGCCTTGAAAGGGTCTACATGGATAAAAGCAAAAACAAAACAGAGCAAAACTAATGTAAATCAACAAGAAGCCCACCTTTGCAAAGTGACCTGCTGGATTAAAAAAAAAAATCAATCAAATAATGAAAAATGTACTTAGCAAAATTAACAATGAAATGAATTTTTTGGGGGGTGTAGGGAGGCAAACAAGTTTCCTTCTTGTTGCCTAAGTTGAAGCACAATGGCTCAGTCTTGGTTCACTGAATCCTCCACCTCTTGGATTCAACTGATTCTCCTGCCTTGCCCTCCCAAGTAACAGATTACAGGCATGTGCCACCACGCCCAGCTACTCTTCGTATATTTAGTAGAGATGGGGTTTCACCATGTTGACCAGGCTGGTCTTCAACTCCTGACCTTAGGTGATCCACGTGCCTCAGCCTCCCAAAGTGCTGGGATTACAGGTGTAAGCCACCCCACCTGGCAGGAATGGGTTTAAAGAGACATGTCTACACTTGATTGAAAAGAAAATCAGAAAAACAGAAAGTGCTGGAAAGAACTGTTCATGATGCACACAAGGATAAAAAACAGAGAAGACTGGATGAGTGGGGTCTACTGTGAGAAGCTCTAATGCAAGTTAAATGCAAGTCCTAGAAATTGAGGTGACAGGAAGGTTAGGGACAAAGCAGTACATGAAAACGTAATTTCCTACTGCAATGGATCACAACTAGGCATGGTGGTGTACACCTGTAATCCCAGCTACCTAGGAGGTTGAGGTTGTAATGAGCCAAGATTGGGCCACTGCACTCCAGCTCAGGCAACAGAGCAAGACTCTATCTCAAAAAACAAAAAAAAAAAAACAAAAAAAAAAAAAACAGAACCATGGAAGACACATAAAGTAAAATGGGAAAGAATTCAAAACACTGTTTTATTTTTGTCTCTACAAAAGATTAAACTGAGACCAGTTTCAGATTTAAGGACACACATAGGCTGAAAGTGGAGGGTTAAAGCTGATGTTCCAGGTAAATGGTAACCAAAAGAGAAAAGGGCTAACTGAACTTGGGTCAAACAAAATATGTAAGTCAAAAACTTTCACACAAGACAAGGCAGCTCAAAAACGCTAATCTTACAAAAGAAGAAAGACCTCAAATCAACAACCTAACTACTTCACAAAGAACTAGAAATGAACAGAATAAACCCAACTTTAGCAGAAGGAAGAAAATTAAATAGAGTGGAGCAGGCCGGGCGCGGTGGCTCACGGCTGTAATCCCAGCACTTTGGGAGGCCAAGGTGGGCAGATCACGAGGTCAGGAGTTTGAGACCAGGCTAGCCAACATGGTGAACCTCATCTCTACTAAAAACACAAACAGCTGGGTGTGGTGGTAGTGCCTGTAATCGTAACTCTTTGGGAGACTGAGGCAGGAGAATAGCTTGAACCTGGGAGGCAGCAGGTTGCAGTGAGCAGGGCCTATGCTACCACACTGCATCCTGGGTGACAGAGCAAAACTCAATCTCAAAACAAAAAAAAAAAAAGAAAGAAAAAAAGGAAGGGAGGGAGCGAGGGAGGGAGAGAAGGGCAGAAAATCCAAGATGGCCAAATAGGAACAGCTGTGGAGTGCAGTTCCCAGCAAGAACAACACAGAGGGGAAGTGATCGCCACATCTCCAAACGAGTTTTCACTGCCCACAGACCAGGAGATTTCCAGCACAGCTGTTTCAACCAGTGCCTCAGGTCAGCACACAGAAACCCACACTAATCTGGGCAGCTGTTCCAACTGGTGCCTGCAATGCCTGGGAGACAGAGCTGCCCATTCAACTGAAAGGGAGGGGGCTTGAGACAGGAAGCCAGGTGATATGGCTCAGACAGTACTACCCCCACAAAACAAGCAAACTGAAACGCTCTGGATTGAGAGTTTTGAGGCAAGCACAGCTGGATCTGGGAGGGTCCAGCTCGTGTGAGGAAGGGCATTAGCCAATATCAAGGCAGTTCTAACTGTACCTCTATAAACAATACCTCAAGGAACTTCACACAGTAGCTGGACAGAGCCAGCGACAGCTCAGCAATGCCTCCGCTGGCAGACTGTGACTAGACTATCTGCTGAGCAAGGCATCAAGAAACCTATGAAAAGAGGCAGCAGCAAGTCAGGGACTTACAAATAAAGCCTGACCTTCCTAGGACAGAGCACTTGGGAAAAGAGGCAGTTATAAGTTCCACTGCAGCAGACTTAAATGTACCTGCCCAGCAGCTCTGCACATAACAACGAAGCTCTCAGCATAGCACCTGAGCTCCTATACTGGACAGACTGTCTCCTCAAGCAGCTCCCCGACCCCCATATACCCAAAGCTTGACATCTGGCAGGTACCCTTCTG